TAAAGAATTTGGCTTATTAGCCTAGTGTACCATGGTTAGATACAGACTGTGTTGCATCATGCGGAAATACACAGCCTAGCTCTGATATAGGAAGCAGCATAGCCCTATTTGTGTGGCATTGCACACAGGCTAATACCATATTTACTCAAACACAAGACAGTTTTCCTCCCAGTTGGTAAGGAGAAAAAAAGTCCCTCATCTTTATAATCACATGCAAGGAAATCTAAATATGTTGTCTATCATTAAACTGCTACCAAAAGCAGTGTGTGTTCAGCAATGCAAATCAACTAGGAAGGTGATTAAATGCAGCCAACACTGAGTATGACTATAAGACTCATGGCCCACATTGGACAAACATGAATGGGCTAAGGGCTTTTTTGTGGCCCTTAATAAAAAGCAGGCAATTGCCCCTGCAGGAGGGAACAAGCACTGGTGCTGAAGGCACTGCAACACCAGGCTGGCACTGAGAGGCCACAGCAAGCCCCAACGACCTCCCCCAGTGCCAAAAATGCTGATGTTCCCCTCTAGTTCTGTATTCCTATGTAGCTGTTCATACTGGAATGTTAAAAAGCTAACAAGTAATTTAGAAAACAGTTATAGAACTAAAGAAACTATTTTTGTGGCTTATCATGCAAGGTGAGAACTAAAATAAAGTTCTTGTTCAGTTGATGATGGTAGTACTTAAAAGCTTAAGAACTTAGTGCTTCAAAATTAAATGGCATAATTTTGAGAGTTATTATTCAGTAAAGTTTTTACTTCAGTATTCAGATGTTTTCTTTTATGTGCCATAAGGTATGAAATAGGGTATCCGTATGGCACAAACTTGAAGAATGTGAGAAATATTGAAAGGAAACAGACCTGCAGTCTCTATAGACAGACTCCAACCTGCTTAATGTAGAAGAATTTTGCAGCTAATAGGCCTAGGTTCAGTGCAGTGAAGTCAAAAGGTGGTTTGGTTTTGTTTTTAATTTATGCATTTTCAATACTAGAAGGGATCTAGTCTATCAATGCTATCAATACTATCATCAATACTATCATCTAGTCCAGGGGTATCAAACTCATCTGGCCTAGCAGGCCCTGTCTAGTGGCATAGGACCAGTTCATTGGCCAGATGAATGATGTAGAGCTTGCCTTGTGGGCAAGATTGGGCCCAGAGCCTTCCCCCACTCCCCTGCATGTCAGATCCAGTGCAGGCCCTGCCTTCTCTGGCAGGTGTGGAACTATGTTGCATGTGGCACCATGATGGCTGGTCAGGGACAGGTGTCACATATGGAGTCTGCTCCAGCCGGCCAGGGGCATGGTGGGAAGAAGCCTGGGCGCTTGACTACCCTGCATGAACAAGTTGCTGTGGTGGACTTTTCCCCCTGGTGCTGCTGGTGCTCCAGTACTGCTCCTTTCATTCAGGTGCTCTGCAACCATGCAGGCGAGAGCCCCAGCAACAGCACAGCTTCTTTATGCAGCAGCAGCCAAGTGCCCAAGTGAAAACAGCAGCCTTGGAGATCCAGCAGCTCTGCAGGAAGAGGTTTAGCATTGTGGGTGCTTGGTTGCTGCTGCAGGAATGTCCTTTAATGCAGCCAGGGTCAGGGCAAAGTCTGCAGGCTGTGACACCCAGCTCTGTGGGCTGAATCCAGCCTGTGGACTGTATATTTGACACCCCTGATCTAATGCAACCTCTTTTATATCACAGGTCATTACATTTCAGCCCGTTTCCAATGGAATGTGTCCAAATAAATATTGTTTATGATATATTTATCCATTATAATAAATGAGTCCAGTAACTTTTATTTCACTAAAATGTTCCTTCCAAAAAGGTATCAGGTTTTGACTTGAATAGAATGGAGAGTCTTCTGTCTTTCTTGATAAATTGTTCCAGTGATTACTTACTTCTTTATTTAAAAAGTGTGTTAAGGATTCTTGGCACCTGCATGGATCAAATTTATAAAACATGTAGTTTCTTAAAGCAAAATCTCTTCTCCAAGTGAAGACAAGACAGGATGCTGAATTTACACACAGATAAAAATAATCTGTGCTGATTTAAAAAAAAGTTGTGTTGAAATGCTCATTGACTAAATATTCCAGTTTTCTGAAAGCTTGTCCTTATTTTTTAAATTATTTTAATCTTTATATCTCTTTTCTTGATAGCACCATTTGTAAAGTTTAGCATAAGTTACTGCGTTCAGCCTGTTTTAACTTTAGCCTTTATGTAGTTATTTTAATACACGCATCAGTTTTAGCATGTATGAGCTCCCTCTGGTGGCTCTTTAAAGATTAAACACCACAGAATGATGGGCTATTGTCAACAACTGTGGCCTTAGACACTGATGCTCTTAATACATTAAAAAAAAACATTCTATTGAAAATGCTTTCTAAATGGAACCAGATTTTTTTAGGGAAACTTGTTTAGTGTAATATTTAAGTAATACAATAATAGTGTAAATATTTGGTGCAACTTCTTACAGATTTGTTGTTCATCCAACAGTGTATCTATGTAGTTCTGTGCTATTAATATGTTATCTGTAAGACAGAAATATGTGATATGATTCATTGGTTGTCTGACCAATGAGCATTAAGTGTACATTTATATATTGAGGGGGAGGACTGAGGCCACATACAGACATTTTATTTCTACAGGAAGAATCTCTGCTTGCCTGGTAGAAACCACAAGTGTACAGGTGTTCCAACTTTTTTTCTCAGAGAAAAAATTGTGGTTCTGGGAGAAAAATAACCTGACTCCAACCAGGAGAATGAATGTTTATACACTTTCCCAAAGCTTAACTCCTCCCAGAGGCCAGGAGAAATGGAGCTGCAGGAAAAGGCTTCTGTCCCTTCCAGAGATACAGGGTCACCCTGGTGCAGACAAGGCATAGGAGCAGCTGCTTTTTAGCCTTTCCAATGACAGGGAAGAGAGGGGAGAAGCCAAGCCAATACCAGCAGCTCCCCACTAAGTCCTTGAACACTGGAGTCCCCAGTGTGAGGAATGAGCAAGGGTCTAGGCCCCACTTGGTTCAATCCACTAAGCTTATGAGTAATAGCAGCTGAGCAGAGAGAGTGGTGTTGCAAGCCTCCTACTTGCTTTTCACTCTGGAGTCTGTGGAGTGAGAAGTGGGAAGGGAGATTTTCCCTGCTGCTGTGCTCTCTCAGCCTTTCTGAACTCAGGGCACTCCTCACTGGACTCCAGGCACTCTTCTATAACTTTTATGAATTGAATGCCAAATTCAAAAAGTAACTTACAGTGCTCATCTCCTAGCAGAGGGGCTAGGCAGTGGAGGGTCATGGTTTAGCTAGTCAGGGACAAGACTGAGCCTCCCCTTTTGCTGTTTAACTTATCCGCCTATCTCCGCACACCTTTTAGCACTTTTCATATGATATGACAGCACCCTGGTTGAGAATCACTGTTTTAAAGTGTTGCTAGACATTTCTTTTACTCCCACAACTGACAGAATATGAGCAGAAATGCAAACTTCCCTCAATTTATTTGTCGGTGCCTCAGTCTTCAGTTGAAGGGATCTTGGAGATGATTAGTACTTTAGTCTTCATGTAGTATGCTAAAAGTAGGTGCAAGAGTGCCATTTGGCATTAATTATAATAGTAGTTTTTGTGTCTTGGAAAGTTATTAACTGATTTACTTTGTCAGTCAACCTACAGCTTTTAGGGGGGGGAAGTGTCTGGCTACTAATGACTTGCACAGTATTTGAAAAAGTGGTGAAAGGTTCTGTATCCCACTGTTGATATCTTAAGCTGTCAAGTCCCTTACTCTGTCTTCTTCTAAATGATCTGTCTTTAAAAACATTACATGGTCTCTGTGTTTTAATGAGTTGGTGTTTCAGAGGGTAGCATTCTGTAATGTGAGGTAGTTCTGGCCAAAACCAATTTAGGAATCAGCCTCTCTCAAAATGTATTGATGTGTACCCAGTGTTAATCTTTTAAATGAAGTGATCTCTAATTATCCTTCTGGCCATGTTTACATATTCCCACTTCAAGGGGATGATCATACTTTAAGATTGCAGTTCAGAATAGTTTGAAAAGAAGGATCTGTTAGTACACGCATCTTCTTACCTTGCCTCCACGTGTGAGCATGTGTGCACACACAGAGACTAAGGACTTGGTTATACTTAGTTACAATGTTAGACAACATCTGTTGTGTGCAATGAATAATTTTTATGGTGCAAATAGGTTCTGAGAGATTATGCTAAAAATAACTACCTAGAAGTTCCAGAAAAGGATGGAAGTAGTTGTTTATGATATGTTTATCCATTATGTTAAATGAGTGTCAATTATGCATTTTTCATAACATAGTTTTTAAAGGAACAAAATTAATTAACTAGCATTTATGGTGGCAAAGGAATGGATTTGCTTTTTTTGTCAAGTGTGCACGCGCCAGATGAAGCTGTAATGTGTGTCAGGAGATAAAATCGGCCATTATAAAAAGATTAGATACACATGATCATTTTAGCCTTGTTTATTTAGGTCATCAACATAGTGGAGGGTGATCTTCTAGCATAAATTCTTTGGCATCACAAAATCCTGTGCTTTCTCCTTAGGTTACTATATAAATTAATGTAAAAGGTTTCTGTAACTATCTGATTTCTAAGTAACAACTAACATGCTTTTAAACAACTTCATTTTTTGTCATTTGGACAAAATAAGTACAAAAGCTTTTACTGCCATTGATTGCAAACTAAACTGTAAGACGGCATCTAAGTAAACAACATTGCTTTGCATGTAATAATATGATTTTGCTTACATTCTCATAATTTGCTACCCTGATTGGTCAAGTTGGTGTGTATATAAAGTAGGTGAATTTGCACTTTTACACATTTTATTTTTTATATGTAGCATAATAGAATTCATATAATATCTAGAACTTTTTTTTTAAATTTTTGCAGTAGACAAGATGGTGTTGTATTAAAAATTTACCTTTTAAAATTGGTGAATGAATTCTCACTTTTTTGCATCAGCAGAGTAATTTTATGTTTATAAAATGTTATTGCTTTTTTCAGATTGCAGTGCAAGATTTTGGAAGTTATACCTCCAACACATCACAATGGAATGGCTAATGGCCACATCAACAGCACTGATGGAGATACTATCGTCATCAGCGATAGTGATGATTCAGAAACACACAGCACATCTGTGCAAAATGGGTAAATGATGTTTGTGCTAATGCATCAACATTTTGGATTTTATTTTTCAGAATGAGGCTAACCTGGTTTAGTGGTGCTTATGTTTGAAGCAGATCACTTGGTGTGCTCTCAGCATATTCAGCTGGTTGAACAGTCTGAACATTCACAGATGTCTTGTGTTGCAAACTTGGCAATTTGAGTGCGTGTAGCCAGAGTTTTAGTAAGAAAATAACTCAGGTGTAAGAAACATTACTCCATTTGAGAAGGCATTGTCATCAGGATTGTAGTGGCATACAGTTTTCTACTCTGCCTCGCTCTTCCTCTTTTCTGGGGGTCATTTTCAGGCTTGTAAACAAATATTTGTACTGGGGTTTTTTGAGCAAAACTATGCCATATTTGTAACATTAAAAACATTAATTCAGGTTTATTACACTAATAATATTTTTATATAGAGATTTCACCCTAGTGTAAATAAGGAAAAGATAATACAAAGTTGTCTGGCCTGTTCTATTTATTTTATTATTTTTGTTGAATAACAAAATAACATCTCTCTCCTCCTCATTATCCAGTTTTTCCCTAGAAGTTTGATTAAGTGTATCATATCTTCATTGTTACAGAAAAGCTTTCAGACTCAGTTGTATGGTTTTGCTATAGGTGGAAGTAGGAAGAGCAAGTGGACTGGTACAATCTTTTGTTTAAACTCTGTCAGTGGTACAAGTAAAATTTGATGAGGGGAAATATAGAAGAGGGATGAGAATTTTCCATATAAAAAATAAATTCCTCTTGGTATCAGTCTGACAGTTTAAGGCATAATTCTTTGCGATGGGCTTCGCAAAGTTTGCAATGGGCTTCATGGCGAGATGCATGGGCTTCTTCTTGGTAAATTACTGTTATGTCTGGGTGGTTTTGTTTGATGTACAGAACACTAAGGTGGTTCCTCAGTTTCTTGGAGAGAGTAAAGCTTGTCAGAAAAGGCTGAATGGTATGTAGAAGAGAGTAGATGGGTTGCCTGGAATCCCTTTGGTATGATATTCATCTGCTTTCATTTGGTGAGAGAGAAAATCTGAGCATACCTGAGCAAGTTTCTTGTATAGTTTGCTTGCAGTCTATTTCATTCAGCTGAGTGGTGGGGTCAGTAAGCATAGGTAGGTAATAAACCACCTTAGTCTAGACTTGGGAAGAAGGAAGGGTAGATTTATACCTTAAAGACTAACTAAATGAGATGTGTATAGCATGAGCTTTCATAAGCAGCAGGCTTACTTCATCAGGTGTGTCCCTTCACAGCATCTGATGAAGAAATAAGCTTGCTGCTTAAAAAAGCCTATGCTATGTTTGATTTAGCTAGTCTATTAGGTGTAACACCACCCTGCCTTCTGCCCGATTTCAAACATGTATTGCTTCATTTGAAACAGCTGTGGTTTGAGTAAGGAGGTAGTGTAAAGCTCTTGTGACAAATTGAGTGCTGCTAAGAAAATGGTCTTGGTTTCCTGTCTTTAGTAACATTACATGGATCAGAGTTGTAAGAGAATATGCCTTATCACACGATAGAAGAAGATATCCATTGACTCCTGTTACAGGAAGTGTTACTACTCATTAAGTGCTATATAAATAAAGGAAGTTACTGGATGCTATTTTAACTATAAGCAGTGAGTGGATATGACCAAATGTGAAACACTGAGCTTCTGACCCTGTAACATAGATCGGACTGAGATTAGTTTTTGCTGTCTCTTGCCTGTTAGTCTATCTACTTATTTTAGAGAGAGCTCTTAATACACCTCAAAGTGAGCAGTTGTGGGAATAGAAAGGCTTCATTGCCGCCTTTTTTTTAAATAGCTATTAGGTGTATTTATGGCATAATTTTAGACCGTCTTAAGCACTGTTGTGCAGATTTTCCCTGGATAGATAACTGGGTTGTACACTAGAAAATAAATTTGTTACCCTGCACAGAGTAAAAGTAAATTTGTCTTTGTATGAGGCTCGTTTTAGATGGGATTCATCATCCCACCAACCTACACAGGCACATGGCTGTAGTGCTACAGTCTGGCAGGGACTAGACTTTCAGTCTATAGATTGGGTATGGATAAGTGGTTGCTGCTCTTTTGGTGTCATCTGCCTAGATGTAGATCTAGTAGCTATTTTATTCCATGGTGCCCTCTCCATTCTCTTGTTTAACAATTATCCTGTTTGGACTCCTGATGGATAGGTGCATCTTACCTTATGAGCTTGTAGAAAGGAAAGAGTTTTTCTTCCTTTTCTGCTTCACTATGGGATTATGGTCCCTCACCCACTGTGATGGAAAATATTAAAAGCTTGTAATTCCTTTAAAAAAAAAAAAAACAAATGCAATCCCTGCTCCTCCTTCTTGCTAGACAATATGCAGAGATGGAAGACACTAGGATAGCAGATTGGAGCCCTTGTATGTGCAAGCCTCTTCTGTTAGTTGTTTCAGTTCCAGGTGCTTTAAAATTCAGGATAGTTACTGCTAATTTATGCAGCCAGGTGCATCTCTTCAGCTCCAAATAGGAACTAAAGGAGGTGGGACTGTCTCTTTGAGCCAAAAGAAAGGCAGGCTAGGGAGAACGTTAGGTGTGTTATTGTTTTCTCGCCAAGCTTAGGCTGAGTGTTTGTGTTTTATTGTTTTTCAGTTAGTAGTTATGCTGGACCCTGGGGCAGGGAGGTGAATTTGGTATGTAGTATAGGGTCTTTTAATGATCTAATTATGAAATAGACACTCAGTCTATGGTAATATATTGCTATAACTAGTAGAATAAATTTATGAGACTAGTTTTTATTCCTGGGCCAAAGCAACAAGAAGTTCAGGTTCATTTGATGGTCATCAGTCTCAGTTTTTCTTGTATCTGGTGTTGGTCCTGGGAATCTACTAAAAACCCATAATGTGTTTAGAAAATACTTCCATTTTGCTGCTAGTGATTCTGATTTACTTTGTCTTCTACTTGAATATTGGGTGTTGAGAGAACTTTTTTATTAATTTATTCATCTATCCATCCTTTCTTGAATAAATGTGTTAATGTACAGGAGGAAACTAAACATTTGGGTTCACATGTAGGAAGTGCTCTAATACAAATCTTCATGTGACCTTAACTATTCTGGGGGGGTTTTGTTGTTTTGGTTTGGTTTTTAGAATATGGAAGATTAACAGTGAAAAGTTTTGATCCACAGCTGAAAACCTGTAAGATGTTACTTTCTCCAAAATGCTCTTTATATGCCTTTCAGTCCCAAATTTAAGAGGTGTGCTTAGTATTAACATAATTAATGAATATTATGCTATCAAATCAGCAGAAATGTTAAAATTCCTGTTAAATAGGGCTGTACTGACTTCCTAATTAGTCTCTGTTACCTATATATGAGGGAAGATGGCTAGTCAATATATTAACCAGTCTTCTGAGAGAGTGATCTGTATAAATGAGGTAGTTTGACATATCTACCCTTTGATGGATATCTGATTGTATATAATTAAGGATAAGGTTTTTAGCACTGTAATAGTAAGTTTGGTGGGGGGACAGAAAAGGGAAGCAGGAGTACTCATAGAAAGGTTGCCAAGCAAGTTTGATGCATGTGTACAGCAGCTAAATGATCCTACTGAGGGCATTTCCCTCATACAAAGTATTGCCTCATGGGACTAATTCAGAAGGCTAGTGTGCCTACTCTTTTTCTAGAAGCTAGCACCCCTGGTTGAACTACATCTTTTTCTGTTGTGTTTTTCCACTCTGACTTAGTGTGGTGGCCTACATCCTGATTAATGGTTTCCTTGCCACTGTGACAAAATCTTAGCTTTAAATATAGTGTGCCCAAGACTTTGCATTAGAGTTGTAATCCATAAGTCCAGTGGATACATTGCCCAGAACAAGCCTAATACCTCCTTTTTGGACGGTGTGTAGGGTGGTGGTAGTGTTTTTAAATCAAATAAATAAAACTTTCAAGAAGGTGTTTGGACCTTTTAGTTTTTATCTAGCAATTTTAAAGAATTTCTCATGAGAATTCTTTTTTTTTATTAAGGTAATGGAGATAGCTGTTTTGGTGCAGCTTAATCCTGCTATTTAGTCTCCCAGACCCACATTTGAGAAATGATCTCTCTTTTTTTTTTTTTTTTTTTTTTTTAAGTTGGTTACAAAAACTCGTGTACTTTCCATCAGGAAAGCATTCAGTCTCTTCTGTGTTCCTCTGATTTGTAGTAAATTAATTGGGGTTTTTTGTTTGTTTGTTTTAGTTCACTCTGTTTTGTCAATCACTTCCTTTTCCTCCCCCCCCCCCCCCAAAAAAAGAGAGAGAAATGAATGTATTGTCATGCAAACTCTCTTCCTTTAAGAATATTGACAGCTACAGTGTTGCATTTAAATTATTACAGTAGTATAGTGACTTGCGTCATGGCTGGAAGTAATGATAACTCCCATGCATTTTGGAGTATAAACTTCAAAACTAATTGTATTTATTAAATTAGCTTATCCTGTTGTTGTTTTAAGATTTAGTATGAGTAAGTGTGTGTGTGACTTAGAATGTTTGTTTGTTTTAATGTTCTTACTGGGTCAGTGTTCTCATTCCACTGGAAATTGTGAGCCTTTTTACATGCTTATGTATTTCCAGGAGCTTATTGTGCTTTGCATTTTAAAGCTTTTGATTTAAAATGTCTATTACAGAATTTATTTGTGTCTCTGATTTTAAAATACTTCAATTTTACTTTATTTTTAGGAAGAAAAAAGCCATAATTGATCCCTCCTTATTCAAGTACAAAGTCCAGCCTATTAAAAAAGAGCTATATGAATCTGTAATTGTAAAAGCATCTCAGTTAAGGTAAAAATTACTTGCCTTATTTTTTTTGATGGATGTATCGTGTAGGTTATCTGATGTACTTTATAATTTTGATCAGGAACAGACTAATAATACTTAGTTGAAAGTCTCTAGTGAAAAATATTGAAACAGATGATTAAGTCTATTTGCATTATGTTGACTGTATTGTGGTGTTTGTGTTTATTTAAAAAAAAAATTGAACTGTTGAATAAAGTCCTGCAATCACTTTCAACTGATTTACAGATGGCAAGATTATATTTTTACTCCTTTTTAAAATAGAGAATTAATGTACATAAAACTACATAATTTAAATGACAATGAGTTTAAACAAAACCTTTTTTGAGTTAATAGTTTGTGGAAATCAGCTTGGTTCCAGTAACATTTGAAGTATTACAAATAACTTAGTTCCAGTTTTTCTTTTTATATTATAATTTGTTTTTAATAATATTAGAAATATTTCTTTGTGTAATAAGAACATCTGCACAGGATTGGGGATGGAAGAATGTTGAGGTTAAAATATTGTTTCTTAAGCTGTCTCAGTTCAACTGCCAGCTGTTTTGGAGACCATTTTTATGCAACTTTGGCCAAGTCACTTTGGTCCTAATTGAACAATCCAAACTTGTTCAACGAAGCATTTAAACATGTGCTTACTTTCAAACATTCTTTTAAATATTGTTTTGCTGAAATGAGGCCTTTGCAAAATACCGTTTATCTTATTGCATGCTATTTAGTTAGTAAGTTTTTCAGCGTTGGTACTGTCCCTCCTATTATGTATGTTCACGTGCCCTGTCAGGTAGTGAGGTTGCAGTTTTGGTTGAACCTTTTCTGCCACTTCTTAATATGTATTAACAAAAATAATAAGGGGTGTGTTAACTTTTATTGAGGGTTCATGTAGAGACAATAGGCTGTAGAGGATTTTTCATGGTTTTGTGCATGTGCACCCACACACATGTGCAAGTGAGATGTTGCTCCTCTATGGTTTTAAAACAAAGTCAGATTCCCTGTTGTGGAAAACTTAAGTGGCTGTTTCTTACCTTATTTCTGAAGCAATATTTATTCTCATTAGAATTTCTGAGAGCAATATTTAGCTACAATAATACTAAATTACAATCTTACTGAGGAAAACAAGACAAGTTTTCCAATGGGCAAAGTGTACTTCAAATGAGACAGAAAATCTCAAAATTTGCAGTAATAAGAGAATGTAGATCAAACATCATTGGTAACATATTTTTTCCTATTACAGCCGGAGAAAACATTTATTTTCTCGTGATAGACTTAAACTTTTTTTGAAGCAACACTGTGAACAGCATGATGGAGTCATTAAAACTAAGGTAAATAAGAGGGTGAAATTGTTTTGTGGGATGGGAAGAGAAAGAGAGAACACTGATCTAGAAATATTAAATTAATGTTTGTACTTTCTCTCTTCAAGTTATCTATTTAAATAGCTGTTTTCTGGGCTAGAGTAAATTCCACTTCTTATGGCTACTAAACTTAATTGTAAATAGGTATTTGACTCTCTTGAAAACAAATGGGCTGGACTCTGGTATGGAAGTATAAAAAGTTTATAGTTAAAATTGCACTGTTGTCTGTTGCTCCAAATGGCACCTGTTATAGAAACTCTTCTCTCCAATAACTAACTTTTTTTTTTTTCTTTTTTTACTCAAAATTTAAATAAGGTTTTACTAGATGTCCTTTGAAATACAGTACAGATGGTGTGTTTAAGCAAGAAAAGGAATTCTAGTATGTTAACTTCTCTTTATCACCAATAGCATACAAGTGATATGTTCTTTAAATCATACAAAATACACTAGTCAGTCATGTCATAACAAGCTAGTGTCTGTTTACTGTAAAAATTATCCTTCTAGACCAGGGGTTTTCAACCTTTTTTTGAGGCAGGGACCCCCTTCCAGATGTGGAGCAGGGAGGGGTCCCTCAGCAGTCCGTTGCTGAGCAGGGGGGGTGGTCCTTTGGCGGTCAGACGCGTGGCAGCAGCAGCACGCCGCATACCCAGGGCCTTCCCAAGTACCCCCAGGGGTACACATTTTCCTGTTTGATAACCCCTGTTCTACACAAATGATTACACTTACAGCATTTGTGTCCTGTTCTGCAGGATGAAATGTATGCTGGAATCCATTTGACTCAAGTGGGCTTAGGATTCTTGTCATTTTAGGATTGATTCAAACTGGCAAAACTCAGAATGCTAAAGCCTGTGGTAGAATTCCATGGTCAGTTCCTCTACAGGCAACCCCCACTTAGTGCTATTAATTGGTTCTTGGAAAAACTGAGTGCTAAGCAAAACCACATTAAGTAAAACCTGTTTTCCCATAGGGTTTAATGTAAATAAATAAATAATTGGTTCCTGTGCTCCTGCCAGAGGCTGTGCAGGGCCTTTCTGGAAGCGCCAGGGAAGGCAACGGCTCCTCCTGGCCTCATTGTTCTGCTGCCATGATGGCCTTTGTTGGCCCACACCTGCTGGTTACCAGCGCACCTGTGCGTGACCCCAGCCGCCCCACCTGCGGGGTCTAAGTCAGGGACCTGCCCACCTAGGCATTTAACAGTGAGCAGTGGGGCTCCAGTGGTTGACTGCATGACCAGAGTGGCACGGATCACGGGCTGCAGCCTGGGGACAGTGGAGCTCTGTGGGCTTGGCTCCACTGTGGGTTGGGGTGGGGAACACTGCACGTGTCTGAGCACTGACTTGCACCAGCCCGGGCCCTGCGCTCATGCCTGCCTCCACTGCTGCTTCTCCCCGCCCACCGGCCACTCCAGCACCATGTGCTGGAGTGGACCCTGGGCTCCTGCCACCCTACCCTGGGCCCTGCCAGCTGCCACTCACTGCTTCCCTGGATGTAGCTACCACTGATATTGCCACCACTGTTTCTCCCTACCCGCCGCACCGAGTGTTAACGAAACCACTGAGCGCTAAGTGAAACCAGGTAAGTATTTTTAATGAGCGCTATAGCAAAACTGCATTAAGTGGGGGTTACCTGTACTGTATCTCTAGATTTTGCAGAATATGAGGGTGGATGCTTAGGTCAGATTTAAGTGATCTTAATAACCTCAAGCTACTGTGCTGTCTGAGGGCTAGTGAGGTTCTTGGGCTAAGTTATGGCAATTTCCCTGGGCTGCCTGTTGTCTTGTAGCGCTGCCTGGGGTCTTTGTATTGCAAGCACCTTTTTCCTGCCCCCTTCCCAGCACCATTTCTAAGGGAAATTTTACATGGCATACAGACACCAAAATGGGAGCAAGACTCTTACCCTTGAATTTCAGCGTTGACAAATATGTAAGAACTACCTTTCAATAAATAATGCGTTTTAAAATGACTTTTTGTAACTGAAGTTTGCACGTATATTCTTTTGAGGCCAAATTCTTTGCTCAGGCACAAATATTCCATTACCATTACTATTCAGCAGCAACTGTGAGATGCTTGAGATCTGTCCTTTATCAGTCACCTCTTACTATATTATTTCTGTATTTTTTAGAATACAGTTTCTTTACCCTCACTAACCAATTTATAGGTAGTTTCATTGTTTTCCTGAATTCTTCACTTAACTGAGTTTGTGCGTGAAGAACTATTAACTTAACAATTAATATCTGTTTTCAACTTTCCTGCTAAGGCGACATCAGTTGCAAAATACAAGATAGCAGAACAAACTTTCTCCTACTTTTTTCCTGATGACCCACCCACGTTTATCTTCAGTCCTGCAACCAGGCGACGAGGGAGGCCTCCAAAGAGGCCATCTATAAGTCATGTAAGTAATACTAAAACTGACTTTACATTGAGATATTTTCCTTATTTCAGATTAAATTATTGAAAACTGCAATATGTTAAGGCTTCTCATTTTCCTCAGTAAACATGGGGATATGAGGAAGAAAGTAAGAACACTTGAAATGCAATTTTTTTTTCCAATTAATGGAAATACAATAATGATAAATGTCTGGGTTTTTCGGGTGGTTCTATCAGCTACAGAAATAACTTTACATTTTGTCTCCTCTTTGGCAACAGCAGATGAAAATCAATATGAAACGCATCCTACTTAAATTTAAGTAATTTTAACTGTAAAAACACAGTTTCAGTTCTCCCATTTTAGATAAATGCCTAAGCCACAGCAGTAGCTTTAATATGAAGCAAAGCTACAGTGTATACTTGGTTGTTGTTGTTGTTGTTGTTGTTGTTGTTGTTTTTTGTTTTTGTTTAACTCTTCCAAGATTGTGATGAATTAAAATATTTTCCTGTTAAAGATACTATGATTCTTTTTCTCCCCCCACTCCAGGAAGACAGAGTGGCTGATAAACCAAATACTCAAGGAAATAGAAACAAATTAGCAAAGGAAAGGGCCCGGCTTCAGAAACAAAAAGAAGAAATGCAGGCCATGGGTAAGTTAACCCCTTCTTTGATTATTAGAGCCAGTTCCTGCAGGCTCAAAAGCTCATTGTATTAATGATACTTTGGGGCTCTATCAGATAGGACTTAAACCAAAATCATTTGCTTGAAACAAAATAAGAGCTTTTTACATTGGTTTGACAACAATGGCTTAAATATGATTTTGATTAAATCAGTGCCCCTTTCTTTTAGAGAGAAGGTCTGGTTATTATTCTGCAGCCCTTCTCAGGCAAGCCAATTCTTCCTTTTGAAGAGGAGCCTTAACTGAGTAGGCTTGGGGGCTGGCATTTGTTTAGAAACTTTGGCATTTCCATTCTTATGTGAGGCTTTCCTTTATCTTCTGAGAAAACTAGCACTTGGGGAAAAGAAGGGGCTCACTTGTACAAAGAGGTCGATATGGAGGCCACTTACCCCTATGTGCTGAAAGTGACAAAGGAGAGAAGAGGACACTTAGGTGCTTGAATACTCAGATTCTTACAGGATGAGATTTGATCTAGTTCTTCACATTAGCACAAGATGTTTTAGCTGAACTTTCATTTGATGGGATGATCAAGGATAGATGGGTAACAAAATGCCCTCTTTGTACAGCTCCAAACTGAATTGTTTCTAGAAGTGAGGTGGCATGTGTTTATTGTAAAGATTATGTATGTTGTCAGCCCTTGGGTTCTACGCTACCTGGCTAGAATGCTCATTAACAGCCTACAGGCCAAACCCAGTCCAGGAAGAGGTTAAATCCAGTCTGCAAAAGTGTGAAGTGGTCTGAGGTGACATTGGGGGGGCAGGGGGGAGATCCATGGCATACAGCTGCTCTGTTGCTCATTTCCTTTGGTGCTCTCACATTAGGTGCTTACCTTCACTATGGAATTTGTCACTCTTGCTGTTGGGGATAGGGATTGCTGGTGAGGGTAAGCAGAGGCAGCTTGGGTACTCTTGGGGGAGGGATGGAGACTTGTGGTGTGTGGCACTGGCTAGGTTGCAAGTAGTACTTGATCTAAAGAGCTGCTATGAAATCCTATTAATGTATAGCTCAAACATGACAGCTAAACTAAACTGCAGTGGAAATTAAACCTTTCCTATAGGGATGTAAACAGTACTGTCTTGACTTCCAAATTAAAACCAGGTGGCAGACTCGGTTCTAGAAACCTGCTAACTTTTTAAAACTCTTACAAGTCAGTATTTCAGTTTTGTCTCGGGGCCCCTATTTCTAATTGGAAACAATTTCATTTTGTTCCTTACTCTCAACTTCTAAGGCAATTTTTGTTACTTAAACTAAATTAATACCTGTCTTGATTGTGCAACTTAATGTGGCGCACACATTCCTCAACTGTGCATTGGTTATACAGTTATAAAATGTTGTTAGTTATTCAAGTTATTCCTTGTTTAACTTTTTCAACTCACGTTTTTATATGCTAGGGGAAATGTACAAGATTTCCATCTCCTTAAAACCATTCTGTGGACTGTGTATAATGATATTGCAAACTCAAATGTTTAGGATTCTGATCTTCAAATATTGCTGGATAGAGCAGAATTGGAATTTTTGGTTGGCATAGAAACAATTCAGTGTTCATAACAATACCTTTTCACATGGTAACTATTTATCAATCTGTCTATTTTAAAGTGGTTCACATAATTATTTTCATTTGCAATATGGTAAACGTTTGTCCTTTTTCTGTTCAGCTTTTGAAAAAGCTAAATTAAAGAGAGAGAAGGCAAATGCCATAGAAGCAAAGAAGAGAGAGAGAGAAGATAAAGAGAAAAAGAGAGAGGAGCTAAAAAAGATTGTGGAAGAAGAAAGGATGAAGAAAAAAGAGGAGAAAGAGAGACTCAAGATTGAAAAAGAAAAAGTAATGTGACTTCCATATATGCATACTTATAAAATACTGGAAAGTATAATGGCATTCTGGTTTTGGTTGGCTTATTTGCTTTTTAGTTACGATGTTCCTTAATTTGCACCTTGTAGGTTATTATGAAGAACAAAGGACTTTATATACATGTGCCATTTAGATTAATGTGTGGGAAAGGCTATATATTCCAGTAATGAGAGCAATTAAAGGTGACATCTGAAATCATGATTATTTTGTTTTCTGTTTTAGCATTAGTGATATGTTGGATGATAAGCTTTTTGGTAGATGCTGAAATTTTTTTTTGATGGTAGTCTGACACATTCAGGAACATGTTATTGACCATCTTACTGTCTCCTACTTGAAATACATTTTGAACTTGAAAAATTGTTTACCTTGCCTTACATTTTGCTGTAACCACATCTAAATATAGCAAGTGTGGCTAGTATCTTTATCTGCTGAATTGTTTTGCCTCGAGGTAAACATTTGAATTGGCCAAGTATTACTTTCCTGATGTTTGAGTGCTTCAAACCTTTTCTTCACCAACAGATTTTAAGTGGGAAGTATCCCTTTGACTAATTTTATAAATGCATGTTTTCTATCTGTTGGAGAACAAGAAAAACTACTGATCAGTTAGATGTTCCAATTTGTACCTCTTTATCATGACTGCTTTTGCAAAATATCTCCCATTTTGATAATCCTTGGGCTCGTTATTGGGTTGATTCTGCAATTATTTTTACTTTAAGCGTCTTGGATCTTGTACAAAAGAAAAACGGATTTTTATTGTCCTACTGAACATAACTGTTTATTGTTCACAAAATAATTGTACGCTTTTTTCAATTTTACTGAATAGAATTGCAGGGCTTTAGTAGCAGAGCCTGGTAATAAAATACAACCAATTGTATGGCTAATTCTGAAAGTTGGTGGTTTTTGTGTTTTGTTTTTTTTTATTTCAGGAAAGAGAGAAATTACGTGAAGAAAAACGAAAATATGTGGAATACCTAAAGCTGTGGAGTAAGCCTAGAGAAGACATGGAATGTGATGATCTTAAGGTATAAGTGCTACATGAACTTGCAGTAGCATATAACTACACTTCACAAGTTCCTCTGTGCTAGGGGTTAACCTATGGCCTGTGGGCTGGAAGTGATTTTACTTGGCCCACCAAGCAGGGACAGCAGTGGTGGTGGGAGTTGGACAGGTTGCAAGCAGTAGCCAACCTTCATACTGAGCTGTTTTAGAAGTGGTGGGCTAAATTTTAAGGTTGCTGACCTCTGCCTTGCACAGCTCTGCTAATGCACCCAAACCTGACCTGAAACACTTTTGCTATTAAAGTGTCAGCTTTATTGAGGAATGCAAAGCTCTAGAACTCTTGGTTCATAAATGATACCTTTTACTAGACCAACTAAGAAGTTACCAAAAAAATTATCTTTTTGCAAGCTTTCGGGCCAACGCGCCCTTCCTCAGGCTCAGGGAAAATTTTAAAGATGGTAAAAAGTCCCGATAGGTAGAAAATAAACTTAATTTTAGTACAGAGGAAGCTGACGGTGGAAGTCTGTTCCTCTGGGTCCATGAGTATCTTATGAGTTGCTCTTTGATGTGCAGATAAGGCAGGATTCCTTCCCTGGTGGTGTCAGATGGCAGAAAGGCAGGGAGGTGTAGAAATCCTTCTTGTTATACAGCCTAGAGCTTCATTGCTGAACGTTAAACTGTTTCATCCAGTGGTGCCAAGCCTTTTGCCCCCTTGAGCAGGTTGACTAGTGTGGTGTTCTGCAGGCCAGATCCATTCCATGGTCCCAAACCAATGTGTCTAGCCAGGTCCTGATTGGGCATGTCCAGCTGGCCCAGTGTATGGCCCCAGCCCCAGGCCTGATCTAGTGTGTGTGGCCTGGGCCCTACACACAACAAATGTAGCCTACAGGGCTTAGAAATTTGGCAGCAGGGGAGCGGCCAGATGACATGGTTCCACAGGCTTTATCTGGCCTGGAGACGGAGTCCACTGGTTTAGTGGCTTTATAACATGAATAGATGCAGGTTAGTTGATTTGAATGATTTCTACTTAAGACCTCAGAAAAGATTTGAATCCAGGACTTCCAGTGCAACATCTACTAGAATACCTCTCCTGAACACTCCTGGTTTTCATTTTGTCTAGATTGGGCACATTAGTCTAGTATTACTTGTCACTTCTAAGAATTATTAATTTAACTTTCTTGGGAAGGTGAACTTGCCTGTTTTCAAGTTACTGCAGAGTTGTCTATACCCAATTTTATGTGCAATCTTGATTCTGTGGTGAAGACTACTCTTATTTTCCTTTTTTGTAGTCTTTGATTTCTTCTTTAGTTTTTTCTTAAAAAAAAAAAAACAACAAAAAACAAAAGTCTTTCAGTTTGGAATGATTGCTACTTTAACAAAGTTTATAAACCAGATGGGCTGACAAGCCTAATAAAGATCTAGTTGTCCAGGTGGTTTAGCTTTTGGGGCATCTGGAATGCGTGTTTACTGGGGGGGTGGAATTTTCAGAATATTAAACTTGCGTACCTTTTCACAAATGTTAATTTAACAGGAAGCCTTCTAGATAAAGGGTTAATTTGTTTTCAGAAGACTGGATTGTTTGTATACAGTCCAGTAAGAGGCCTTCATTAAACAACCTAGTAAGCACAGAAGATTGGCACTTAAGGATCCTGAATGAATGAACACACATGAAGCTAATGCGAATTGCAGTGTTCCAATAAACACTTGACCTAAAGCTGTTTCTGGTTATTTGCATATTTAAGGTTCTGAGTCATCCTGTCAGGAGAGAACATTTTCTACCAAAGTGCAGGAGGGTTCAATCTATTGACGGGCTTGGTTAAATGAATTAAAAAGAGAATCCATTTTGTTTAATACTTTTAATTGTTTCAACATCTGCCATTTAAAGGACTTTAACATTACATTTGAAATTATGACAACCTATAGTTTTGCTTGTGTGCAGCATTTTAATATTTAACTGAAGAAAGTTTGCATGCCAGTTTTCTGCATTACTACTTGAATTTCAGTTTTCATCAAGAACATCTTATGGCCATGGTGCTAAAAAAATAAATAAATAAATAAAAATCTAGTAAATAAGAGATTTACTGTTGTGTTAACCTGGAAAGATGAAAAATAGCAACATACCCAGTTTCTTAAATATGCATATAATGGATCCTCTTCATAAGCAAAAAATGTGTTGAACTTCACTGCAAGAAATATAGCTTAGTGATAACTAACCAGCGAGTCAACTTTTAGTTTTAAGAAAATAACTAAAACTCAGTTCTTTAAGTAAGGAATTCTTGCTTGTTGTTTTTGGGGGGGTTTTTTGGTGTGTTTTGGCTTTTTTTAATCGGCCCTCCCTAGTTGAGTGCAACCATCCCACTTCTCTTAACCTTTTAAGTCTAACTTGTATTTCTTTTAAAGGCAAAAAAGAACAGCGCATATTCTTTGTAATGCTCCTTCAGACATGTTTAAATTAGTACCAGTGGTGTTTTGGATAGTGTATAAAACCTAATGAAGAGAATAGAGTCCACTTGAACTTTTTTTTTTTTATATAGTCTTCTGGATGCCTGACATCTTGCTAGTCTCCAGATGGTGAATTGTACTTGAATACAATATCATGATTAGTTGCGATCAGGAGGGGCTGAATGAAGAGAAGAGTAGTCAGGAGCACAAACATGCAGAGATGAGTTCTTTTATGCTTTCTGCTCTGTCTAGGACAAAGATCAGTGAGGTGGATTGAAAAGTCTATTAAATGGTGTGAAGTGCAAGCACTAAGATGGGGGAATATGAGAGATATAAAGGCTGAGATGCACATAGTGTAAAGTTACGCAGGCACTGAAAGGAGTTTGATCTGCATGTGGAAGGAGAGGAAGCTGGGTAAAGACAACATAAGAACAGTGGATTTTTAGCATCACTGTCTGGCATAGACTTAAAAGGCAAGATGAGAAATGAAGAGGCAGCTACATGATTGCAGTAAGAGATAATTTTGGAGTGTAGAGAAAACCGAGTGATGGGGATGGGGATGGAAAGATGAACTCCAGATAGGATGTCTCCACATGAAAATCTAGGTATGAGTTGGCATATAACTGGAAAAAAAGTTGCCATCTAGTTCAACTATTCGAGCTTTAGCTTATTGACAGCTTCTTTTCCATTCTGCCTGTAGAAGCTATAAGGGTATACTTGGAAACTTGAGTTTATAGGTTGGGTCTCGGGCCTGCTGGATTACTGCATGCTTTTTTTAGTGTCATCTCTAAGAGAACAGACAGCTTTCATAGAATCAGAGAAAAGTAGGGCTGGATTGGACCTCAGAAGGCCATCTAATCCAACCCCCAGTTCATGGCAGGATCATTCCTGTCTAATTTACCCTACATAAGTGTTTGTTTAACCTGCTGGTAAGCACTTACTAGGGTAAGAAGTTCTACAATCTCTGTAGGGGGCCTGTTCCAGTGCTTATCCATTTAGGTTGAATATTAAGTAGAAATTTCTCACTATGAGAGTGTGCATCTAGCTATGTTTTTGGAGAACCATAACCAGATTGCAGATATTCACAAATGTCTCCACCTAAGGTCCAAGTCAAAGGTCCCAAGTTATTGTTGAATCCTATCAGCCATGAATGATTGGTTATAACTAGCCTTGATAAGCTGATCTAAAATGCCTTCAGCCATATTTCCTTCTTGGAAAAGCCCTAGGCCCATATGCATTCATTAGACCTACCCTGCCATACTTCTCTAGAACTGTCAGGTTTTTTAAACATTATTGAGCACCTTTTAAAAAAAATATGTACTTTTTTGCTGGTCTGGAAAATCCTACACACACACACCTTTTTGTTGTGGAAAAAACGTTTGAGGGAAATAACTTGGCAAGTGGCATTCTTGGGATAAGTATTCTCTTATTCCAAATCAGTTGTTAATCTGAGTTAAAAGTATGCCCTGATTTGTTGGGTATGCTAAATTACATCCTTAAGGGATTTACTTCTCTTCGCTGTTATGAGTTAGAATTGTTTTTAAAGCTATAATGTGAATCAACCATGGCTCTTGCAGCACTATTAGGTCTTTTTAAAAATAGCTCTGTGAGGCTATATAAAAGACTTACTGATGTCAATTTCATGTCACTCAGAATGATGGTGAGAATCTCTGCATTAACACCTATGTATTCTGCCAAAATTTAATAAAATATTGAGTTGTTGTTCTTGTTGTAGGAACTTCCAGTTCCAACTCCTGTGAAGACGAGATTGCCTCAAGAGATCTTCGGTGATGCTCTGATGGTCTTAGAATTTCTTCATGCGTTTGGAGAACTCTTTGATCTTCAAGATGAGTTTCCTGAAGGAGTCACCCTAGGCAAGTTATCACTTGGCAACATGTTTTAATTTGTATAGTTCCGTGTGACTCAAATGCACTTATGAAAGTTTCAAAATTTTCAGCCTATTTTACAGTGACTGATAGTGTTGATTTTTGGCTTCCTGACATCTGGTGGTAGTGCTGATATCTCTAAATGAGTTCAATATAGAAATGTGTGGTCTTGTAAATGTTGCTGGAGACCTTTTTAATATCTTAAACTTAAAGTGTTTGATATTTTACTGCAGTGTCAACAAACTGCAGGTCCACTGTGGAGCCACTAGATCCAGCTGGCAGAGCTGTAGAGGGTTTGCTTGTGCCCACACTAGGGCTGAGCAACAAGGAGCTGTATGCTGGGTCTGGGTAGCTTCCAGCTATTCATATATGTACCACTGTCGCTTCTCTCCAGTTGCAACATGGGTACAGCTTCCAGCTGGGGAGGAACTGTGATGGGGCCAGTTTCACCTGTGGCTATGCTGCAGGCAGGAGTGCAGGAGGGAAACAAGGAGAAGCAGCAACAAAATGGATGCAGTTTTGCAGCTGTCCAGCCCCTGCTTAGCTCCCCATTAACTGAAAGCTGCAGCTATACTGTAGCCAGAGAGCTGGGGGTTGATAAGTGGCAGCAGCACAGGTGCAGGGGAAGAAGCCCTCGCTGTCCCCATACCCCTGACATTCCCCAAAGCCACCTGGCCTGAGTTGGACATGAGCTAGGTTGTTCTGGTCTGTGGCTTGTTAAAGGTTGCTGGCTACTGGTTTAGCAAATGGGCGTTGTCACTGTTTCCTTTTCTCGAGCATCTCTGAAAATGTTTTGCCCCAACATGGTAATATGTTGTTGGATAATTTGCTGTGCTTTTTGTGGGGGGAATCTATTTTTGATTCTTTGCTACTTTGCTCTTACAGTACTTGTATTTTATTCACAGAACTTTTAGAGGAAGCTCTTGTAGGAAATGACAGTGAAGGCCCACTATGTGAATTGCTGTTTTTTTTCCTGACTGCCATATTTCAGGCAATGGCTGAAGAGGAGGAGGAAGTGGCCAAAGATCAAATAGCTGATGCTGAGACCAAAGGTCAGATTTTAAATTTAATATTAAACTGAAATATGAGCTTAAAAGCATACTGCATGATTTGTCACACTTCTAACATTAAAAAAATTTGCCTTTTATTATGTGGTGTTTCCTTGTTTAAGTTTGGTTATAGCTACAAACATTTGTTTCTTTTACGAAGCAAGTATTTGTCACATCATACCCAGTAAAGCGCACTAAGCATTTAATACTAGTCTGTTTTGGAGGGTTCTTCAGTCTTCTACTCCTCCTCCCTCCCCTCCCCCCCGTAGCTTCACTTCTTCAGCACTAAATACTTCTCCTGACCCTTCACACAGACCTCTTCTGTAGCTTCAAAGGATTCCTGAAGTCCAATTGTTACCATGGTCATAATTTAAAACTCTGAATTTATTCTTTGCATGGTTACTATACATCTTCCATTAACATTCCTACATACCGTGCGGCTACCAGCTTGTATACTAAGAGAACATTTTATAGGTTGAAGTGGCTGCTTTGCCTCTAGGCCAGGGGTTTCCAAACTGGTAAGTGTACCCCTGGTACGGAGGACATCTCTGGGGGGTATGTAGGAGAAATTGTATAATGGTGGATTTAATTTTCATTATAATTGGCATTTAAAGGGTTGAAATGTAAACTGTATGCTGGTAGGGGTATGAGGGCAGCTGATAAATCTGGAAGGGTGTGTGTGATAACAAAGTTTGGGAACCTCTGCTCTAGGCTTAGCATGTAGACTAGAGCTGGGCATATATTGAGACGTATACAGTATCAACTAACGGCTTGTCAAAAGTTATACCTTGCTCTTCTGTGTATGCATAAGTGCTTGACAGTGTCAAATGTCTTCGTTGTTTTTAATAGCCAATTTTGGTTTTTGGAGTTCTCCTCTATTAGCACAGTGCAGTGGCTGAGCTGTGAGGTCTGTTCCCACAAAATGCTTTCCCCACAGAGCTCTTGCTGAAGCCACAAGGAGGGCTTGCAAAATCTGGCCTTGCATAAGGAGTTGAAGTTTAACCACTCAAAGTTTTCAGTAAAAAAAATGTTTAAATTGATATTAAGTTTTTTAATAGAGAAGAACAGTTGGGCACAAAATGATTGTCCTTTTTGAAGTTAAACCTTTTTTTAATTGGCAGCAAATTTTAAATTTTAAGTCTTAGTCCTCAAGGAATTGGTGTGTGTGGTTTTTTTTTTTAAGAGTAATCCAGGACAGTAACTGTAGACTTTATTCTCCTTTCAATTGATGGTTTATGGGCTAGGAACAGAAGTTGCACATAAACCAGTTTAAGTGATCAGAAACTGGCTTAACCTGTAGCAGAACAGAAGCTCAGTGCACATAAACTAATTTCAAAATGGCTGAAACTGGTTTACGATAAACCTGGTTGAATGTAGCATCAGACTTAACTGATTTGGGTCAAATCAGTTTATGCACCTTCTGTCCCAACCGCCTTCCTGGTTTAAGTTAAATCAGTCCCCCAGCATGCTTTTCAGCCCTGGGTTGAGCTGTGTTGTCTGCTCCAGACAGCAGAACTGCGCTGCCAGCGCGCCCCACCCCCCGCTTCCTAGTCACAGCAGGGGTGGGGTGTGGCCAGATACCAGTCAGAATGGCCCCCTGAGGCAAAGGGAGCAAGAAGGGGGGCTTGCTTTTTTCCCCCTCTCCCATTGGGGTGTAGCAGCCCTTGTCAGGCCCTCTATCCACAGCCTGAAGCAAACAGGGAGGGGGATCTAATCTTGCCCTGTTGCACCAGCAGCATGGGTCTGCAGCCAGGGCAGAGCAGTCCCATCAAGCATTTTTCCCCACTTCCTCCCCCCCACCCCCAGTGGCAGGGGAGGGAGCATGGCCATGCCATCTTCCTGCCTCACCTGGGGCTGGGGTGCTGAGCCAGGCTGGCCTGCAGGTGCTGCTGAACAGATGCAGAGAGGACAGCTTGAGCTGAGCTGCAAGGGCAAGGACCTTCCCAGAAGGCTGGGGCTGCACAGCCAGGTTGCTCCCAGCCCCCAGGCTGGGCAGGGCTGTCATAAAGTCATGGCACTCTAGTCAACACTGGTAAAATATCAAATTTCAAGTCTGTATCTTATATTTTCTTTATATCTTAAAGGCCCTTCTCAGCATCTGTGGCCTGGACTGGCAGCATGGGTGGGGGTTGGCTGGGTAGCAGGCTGCCTGTGTGGCTCAGAGACACCAGCAGGCCCTGAGCCCAGCAGCTGCAGTCTTGCTGGGGCCCGGTGGGCTGTTCTGCCCCTTTCACCTCGAGCTGCTGCTGCTCTTGCTCTTGCCCCTGCTGCGCTGCACTGCACCACTCATTAGTTCCAGCCTAGAGGCTTCTGCCCAGGGCTTGGTGCTCCAGCTCTGACTGCCTTCCACCCGCTGCACCCGCCCTCAGGGGCTGCTTATTGCGCCGAGTGAGTGGAAGGGATGGAAGGCAGCTGAATCCCGAGCTCCATGCAAGGCACAGGACGGCAGGAGCTGCAGATGGAGGTGAGGGGAGCAGAACAGCTTTGCTGGGCCAAGCCAGCTTCCCTTTGCCTCCAGTGGCTACTATAATGCCCTATAAGAGGGATGTGGCTTTATATTAGTGATAGTCTTTGTTCTAATATTAGAATATTTCTAATCCTCTTGCACTCTGTCTCATCAAAAAGCTCTCCAGTTCGCTTCAGCTCTCCAGTTTTTTGGACAGACCTACCTGTCTTCCTTGTAATTCAGGTTTCTGCAAAAAAATCTTGCTTTTGCTTTCTGTAAATATTTGTAAACAGTAAATATCCACCAATCAAATTAAAATGTGAAGTCTTCTAATACAGTTTAGACTTTAGACTTCTGTTAAATACTTTATTCTAATGGAAAAATCCATCTCGTTTTTAGCCTCCAGCAGTATGTTCCAATAGAATAGACTTGGGGCAGGACATTGCATATAAAGCATTGGCTATTAATGGAGATCGTGCTCCTGAGCCAATGCTCTTCTGGCACTGTTTTGCCTCGGAGCTGTTTATGGTGGAAGAAGAGAGAAGCTTTTGTCATGGCAAGGGGGTGCAGTGTCTCTTGTGGCTTACCAGACTTACTGACTGGTGAAACGATGGTCCTATCTTTGCTTCACCATAAATAGTTAGCAGTAATTGTTTGACTGTTCGTGTGTCCATCTGAGCTCACTGACTGACTGCACTTGGCTCCTACTGGCCAGATGCAAGAAGGATGGGAGAACTCAGTGAACCCTTGTTGCAGCAATCTGGTCCTTTTAAAACTTGCTTCTAATGCTCTTTTTTAAAATGTAAAGTAACTTTATTTCTGGCTGAAATACATTATAACTACTAGTAGCACTGCAGATGAAATACAGCTGAGGAATAAGCCAGAAGCAATCTAGTTTGATTGGAGTTCTCTCCACACCCCCTTCCCCCAATTTCAGTGTGAATTTGCAGGGCTGACAAATATAAATAAGTTGCTTCTAACTGGGTGTACCCTCTGAAACTGGTGATTTGGTGCTTTTTGCTCTTTCTCTATTACTTTCTGCTGGAGCCTCCTTATTTGTTGCTGTTCCTGTTTAGAGAACTTGTGTTCTGGAATAGCTGAACATTCAGTCTGTCTTCTGTCACACTAGTCAAGCAGATTTATGGCCATTGGTATAAATGTGTGCTTTTTAAACCATGTGCTGGATTTTGAAAAGTAGGCAACAGTTCTGCAGCAGAAAACAGCAAGGAAAATATGGTGTGCTTGGTAGGTTTTTTTGTTTGTTTTTCCCTTCCCTGTATGTCCCACACCAAAGTAGTATTATGCAGAGGGGGCAGGGGAGATCAGGAAGAGAATAGCAGATAGACATTACAAAATTAACAAGTAAAAGCTTTTGGATAACAAATGTGATGTGGTTCCAGCATATTATTCAGTAGCCAAGACCTTAATGTTTTATATAGTCTTGTTAGTTCAGACCTGTACCTTGTCTGTTTTTATGTGATGACTTTATAACCTGCGTAATGACTTGGAGCTGAATAAGGTAAAATTAGCCACACACAGAAGTTCAATGCAGTCTAGCCCTCTGGTGCTAAGGCAGCTTTCCTTTAAAAAGAGGAAGTTCTGTATGGATGACTTTTTTTTTCCTACTGATGTTTAATGTGCCTTAAATGACTGTATAATGCTGCTTTGGCATCATTTGGCTTTTGTTTTTAACAGATTACTACTTAGAGTTGTGTAAAATGTAACCTGCTATTTTAAGAGCAGCTTGGTCTTTTTTTTCTTTCTTTAGTAACAAATGGTGGATACTCATACCTAAAATGTTTGATGTTTGGATAGCTCTTTCTGAAATGGTAATAGGAAATGATGATTCAGTTGAAGGAGAGCATATGGTATAACTTTTGTGTTTTTCCCTTTTCAAGTGTGGTTCCACTCCCACCCTTTGTGCATGCTTTGTGCATTTGATGCTTTAGCAGCTTGTGCATAGTGAGAAAAGCTTTCAGTGACTTAGTGCATGTCCCTAGCATTTATTGTCTTCTGGGTGGACTTAAGACAGTGTGTGTTTTAACTTTTTTGTTTGTAGAACTGAGTTTTGAATTTGAGGCTTTTGTGAATCCCGAGCCATTTTGCTTTGTCTTTGCATTGTTTTAAAAAGGCTTGCTTTCTTCCCGCCGAAGTACAAGTTTTAATTTGCACTAGAATAAAGTGTTTATTTCCTTAAAGATTTAACAGAGGCTTTGGATGAAGATGCAGACCCTACAAAATCTGCACTGTCTGCAGTTGCAACTTTGGCAGCTGCATGGCCCCAGTTGCATCAGGGTATGTGTGGGTTTCACTCTTGTTTTTTGTTTTTATTTTTACTTTGCTCTGTATTTTAATAAAAGCACATTTTACATTGTTTTGCTTTGTATTGTTAGTTTATAAATAGAAATAAATTCTTGCTATTTTAACTGTAGGCTGCAATTTGAAAAACTTGGATCTCGATAGCTGCACT